CAAATTACAGGGGCTAGTCTGGAAGATTTGACTTGACATTGGGGGTGGCTCACCTTTGCCATGGAGGAATGTTGTTCTTTGGCGAGACCTTGCCCTCGTTAATCGGAACGCAAGCCCGGAAGATCTCGCCGACCTAGCTGTTCCTTTGGAGTGTGTGTGAGAGAAAGAGCTTTAATTTACTTTCTGATCATTTTAAAATTTGTGCCATGAATAATCCCTGTTTGCTGAAGCCCATTTGCACGGCTTGGAATCAAGTCGCTTTTCCCCCCTCTGCTTAAAAACAAAAAGCTACGGCTGCCATCTGGTGACTGAATGGGAAAAGGCTGCTACGTTCTATTTGCACAGAGGACCTGGGGCAGCAGGAAGTGCCGCAGTTATCTCTGCAGCAGATTTGCAGCATGAAACAGCGAAGAACTTAGAAGAATAGGATGGGAAATGCTGTTTTGAAGCTGCCTCTGGTGCTGGCCCAACTGACTTACCCGTTGGTTGTTGCTGAATGACGAGGAAGGTGATAAATCTCTAATATAGCTGTTTGCATTGGTTTGATATCTGCTTTTTATCTCGGAAGTAGCTAGTTGGGCGTAATTTACTTAGGCCATAAAAAACAACGAATAGTCTAGCAACACCTTAAAGACTAACAAAACATGGTGATGGTATCATGAGCTTTCGTGGGTACAACCCACTTCTTCAGATGAATGGAGCATTAAAAGTCCAGTTCCAAAATAAATAGGGGATGGGCGGGGGGAAAGAAGGAAGGGAGAAAAATAGTGAATTAGAGTGTTCATGTTACTTGAAGCTGATAGAGACGGTGCAAATTGTTCTTAAGTACCCATTGTTTGGTTGGTTAAGTCGTTAGGATGTGGAAGGTCGTGTGCTAGCCAGGTTATGTCGTTATTCAGACCTTTGTGATGGGTCCCAAACCTGTAAATGAAATTAAGTTTCAACGAACCTGTATTTGGTTACTTGTAAATGAAGTGAAGTACCAACAAAGTTGTAGCTAGTTGTGAATAATTTACTTAGGCCTTGTCTATACTAAACAGAAGATCGCCGCTGCCGCAGTTGATCTTCTAGAGTTTGATTTAGCATGTCTAATTAAGACTCACTAAACTGAATTCAGAGGGCACTCCTGCTATCTGCCAGTACTCCTGCTCCTGCGAGGAGGAAGGAAAGCCAAAGGGAGTGTTTGCTTTCGGCCTCCCACTGTGGGGATGGTGGGAAACACGAAACAAGATACATTGACTCCAGCTACGTAATTAACTTATCTAGAGTTGTGTGTCTTGCCTTTAGTGTAGACCTGACCTTAGACAAACTGATTGCCCGACTTACAGCTTTACTGAGAAACAGAACCGATACTCTAGCCTGAACAAAGCACTAGGCTACGTACAGTAGGGAACTATCTTCCACTGGGATTGATGCCTTCCATCTCCATTGTCCTTGATGAGGCTTTGTTAATATCCCTTGAAAGCAGGTGCTAAACTAGACGACTTACTTTAGCAATTACACTGGATTTCCTTATTAGTGGCAATGAGTGTAAAACGAACCCTGCGGCGCTACAATAGCCTTCTTCTGGAAATAATGTAAACAGCACATCTGTGCAGAATACACGTAGGTGCAATATCTTCCAAGAGTTTCAAAACAAAGTGAGAAAGTGCCCTCCCTGGTCCAACACCCTTGGGACCTGAGTGGTTCCCCCTTCCCTCCCGCTGTGCTCCGGGCTCCCACCCCCACACCACGACTCTCTGATCCTGGAGCATCCGGGGTGTTGCTGGACCAGAGAATCCGGGTGTAGAGAGGTGCAACCTGTCTTCGAACAGGGAAATAGGGGGAAATCCCTCACTTCTCAGCTAAATTAAAATGCCCCCAAAGAGACCTGTCCTCATTTTTGCCATTTTCTCCTAACTCCGGCATGCATGCCCGTAAATCTGAACCCCCACCACAAAAGAATAAGTGGGCATCTCTTTGCCTATTGATCCATGGAGCGAAAACCCTTTTCATTTCCTTATAAAGTGTGTGTTGGACATGGGAGTCTTTTCGCCGCGTGCACAGCGACTCCTGAGAAGCAGAGACCTGACCTGCAAGAGACGCTGCATTTAATGGAAATTCTCTGCACACTGCTTGTACTTTGAAGAGTTCCCTTGCCAAGGCATGGAGCTGATCATAAAACTTTAAAAAGGATATGAGGGAAAATGGAATTTAATAAAATCGTAGTTTAAATTTTTGTTTAGGTTCCTGGAAATCTCCCTGACAACAGGAGAGTTATTTAGAGCTGTTTCCAAAAGGACTGGTCCCTATCTCCTATCAAAACCCATTGCTGTCTCTGCGCTGTTTATAATGAAGATGGCTGTAGCTAGGACAACCACCTATAAAGTGGGAAATATCTCTTGTTTCAAAACTGACTAAATGTGTCACAATTTCAGTGCTCCCTCCCCACCCCTTGCAACGACTTGTCACAAATCTGTTCTGATTTATATTTTACATCTGAAATCTATTCTGGGGCTCCCACATTCCTGGCAGCATCGGGGAGTATCAAGCAGAGTGCCCCAGGGTCAGTTCTGGGACTGGTTTGTTCAACATCACTGGCTGGTACTTGGGGCAAGACACCAGAGAACCGATTCCAAAGGGAGTTACTGTCTGTTTACGTTCCAAGTGGAATAAACGGAGATGGAGGTGAACAGCACTGGGTTGTGATGTGCAAGGCACGTGCTGGCAAGTTACAATAACCAGGTACCAATAGGAACCCCTTTGGCTGCTGTTTCGCCCTTTTCTGAGGACTGTAGGTGAGTTTATGAGAAGTCAGGCCCCGGCTTTGCACACTTCCACGCTTAGATGACTGATTTACGTTCCAAGTGGAATAAACGGAGATGGAGGTGAACAGCACTGGGTTGTGATGTGCAAGGCACGTGCTGGCAAGTTACAATAACCAGGTACCAATAGGAACCCCTTTGGCTGCTGTTTCGCCCTTTTCTGAGGACTGTAGGTGAGTTTATGAGAAGTCAGGCCCCGGCTTTGCACACTTCCACGCTTAGATGACTGATTTCCGTGTTCCCTCTGAGCTGCAGGGCGGCTGCCCAGTCAGTGTCTCAGGGCTCCATGCAAGAAGCTGACTGACTGGGCAGGGCTGATTAATCACCGGTGAAGCTGGGCTGGTCCTGCCGAGCTCTGAACATGACCCGGAGCCGCATTGTGAGGTGCCCCTCCCCCTGAAGCGGTGATACTTACAGGCTGTGCAGATTGTCAGCAGCATGCTGTGGGCCTTGACCCCAGGGATTTATTGCTGAGACACAGATTTGATGCATGGGAGACCAAGAGGAGAAGGTTTCTCCGCTCCCGTTTTATGGAGAAAGCAAGGCCCCTGAGGACTCCAGAGACAAGCCGGGCTCTTTGATCAAGGAGAACTGAGGACCCTCTCCTCTGGCCGCAGAGTTGGGCTTCTCAGTTACTTCATGGGCACCAAACACACCAGCAGGATGTGTGCTTCCCCCAGCTGCACCAAAGCAGGCTCCTGTTGGCTGATCGTACCCAGAGAGTCATGAACTACCGAGAAATGCTTCTTTCTGGGCCTTTGCGCCGTAACGTAGGCTATTTATAAACCCTGATACTCCGTTCCCTTTAACAGACAGTCGGGTAACATTTATCTGTGCTACAACGAAATGTGGAGGAATTTAGAGACTCATAGGCTACATCTAGACTGGCAGGATTTTCCACAAATGCTTTTAATGGAAAAGTTTTTCCGTTAAAAGCATTTGCGGAAAAGAACGTCTAGATTGGCACGGACGCTTTTCCGCAAAAGCACTTTTTGTGGAAAAGCGTCCGTGCCAATCTAGACACAGTTTTGCAGCCGGCCAGCTGGGTGGAGTGCGGGGATCGGCTTTCCCGTCACAAAGCCATAGGGGCTTTTTTGCACAAACAGTTCTTCCCTGTCCACACTTTTTCCCAAGAGGGAGCATCGGAGTATTTGCGCAAGAAGAATTGATTTTGTACATTACAAAGTCAGTGCTCTTGCACAAATTCCAGTGGCCAGTGTAGACAGCTGGCACGTTTTTCCACAAAAGCAGCTGCTTTTGCGGAAAAACTTGCCAGTCTAGACGCAGCCCATAGAGTTTAAGGCCAGAGATGCTTCCTATATTCTTCTGAGCCACGCAGTCCAGACTGGCTTCCCCCCAGCCAAGTAGGACATGGGTCAGGTTTCATTCTTAGCACAGTGCTATCGCAGCAGAGCCGTGGTGCAGAATGTGATGTTGCTGGCAGCCCGAAAGCCCCACGGCAGTGAGCAGGAAAGCTCCCAAGCTGCTCAGGTACTTGCTAGTTTTTAGCAGTCAGAAAACATCCAAGGTGAATGCTGCTTTGGAAACCGGCCCTTGTTTCTCAGAACTGGGCCCTAATACTTGGATCCCTCACTCGGGTGTGCAAACTCCTAAACGGGGGGCCTGAACTTCCGTCCCACAGCCAGTGCCTGCCTCTCTTGTCCCCACCAGCAGCCGCCTCGGGCCACACATGACTCACGTCACAAAGAATCCCCCTGGAAGGGATTGCTGACCTGGGGACTTTCCTGGCTGCCTGCATGATGGTGAAGCAAAGGGTACGTCCACACCGGGAGGAAAAACCCACGGCCAGCCCAGCTGATCAGGCTTGCGGGGCTAAAAATTGCTGTGTCGACATTCAGAGCACCCAAAAGTCTGTACTGTGATTTTTAGCCCCCTGAGGCTCAGTCATCTTCCCTGTCCTGCTGCAGGCCTTTTCTCCCCACATAGACATCGCCCATGTGTCTGATTACAGCGCTTTTCTTCCCGGCATTAGCTTATTCCCAAGACTGGTCCTGCCATGAGGGCAGGGGATTGGACTTGGTGACCTCTCGAGGGTCCTTCCAGTTCTAGCGTTCCACGACCGAGTGTTCATATACATGGGGCAGGGAATATTCTACCTACAGTGAACCTTTCAACTAGGGCAACCCAGCCAGGCCCTGGCACACGCGCTACACGCAATTATCACACAAAGCGTTCTTTGGTGTTAAACGAGCGCTCTCTTCTCCCCCTTGTCAAACTGCTGCGGAACAGCTCCCCTTACTCATGTATGAGCCCTGCTCTCGTCGTACCCCGGACACTCTTTAAGAAGCTCAGGATGCCTGAGCCACCAGTCCCCCTCCCTTCTAACGATGACGGGGGGTTCATCTGAAGGGTGCCTGCCCCGTGGCTCAGTGTTCCCTTCCGGGCCTTGGCGTTAGCCGCGGCGGTGATGATGTACTTGGTGACGATGGTAACGTGGTAGGTTCTCAAGTCTGTCAGGGCAGACACACATCGGTTGTAGGCTGAACGCAGCTTTTCGTTTCCAGAGGACAGGACGTGCTGCTTCAGCGAAGGGGCAGACTGGATTTCTTCGATGAAGGCCCGGTGGCGGGGTGGCATGTAGCCCCTCATCCTGTGCAGAAAGGCAGCTGTGAAAGAGCCACAAGGGAAGAAGTGAAATGGCAGGGGGAGCAACGAATTGATAAAGGAATCTGGACAATTCCCAGGGAGCAGCTACACTCGCATAACCTCGAACCAGCTCTGATTCATTCTGGAGTGCTCCCCGCTTTCCCCCAGATACCCTGCCAGCACGTCTCAGCCTGCTCGCCAAGCCTTTGCTGACCTATGAGGGCAGAGAGAGCCAGCTGTGACATGGATCAATGAGGGACAAGGGCCGGGACCCATCCAGCCCTAAGGCAGATTTGCCTGCAGATCCCAAGCATGGAAAACAAGTCCCTGTTCCCTGGTGCACCCAGAATTGCCCTTCATTGCCTCTTGGTAGGGACTCTAGCACCTGAGGCCATGTCTACACTAGGAAACGATTTCCAAATGACTGAATTCAGCCTAGGGACTCCCGATTTAACACTAACTGTGGGGAAGCATCGACGTGAGCCTGAGCAGGCGCCGTCAATGTGGACGCGCTGCCTCCAACGTCGAGGCCCAGGAAGCATTCTGGGGAGCTGCAGGAGGCCGATACACTCAACGCAGCGGCACCGGCACATCCAGGCCAAGGCGATTTCGAAATGGCTATTTTGGAATGAGCTTTACTCCTGGTGAGCAGCAGGCGGGCAGAGTTCGAATTCCGCAGCTTGGGAGTGTGGACGCTCCGCTTGTAAATTCGCCCGTGGGGGTGGTTATTTCAGAAGAGGGTCCTAGCGTAGAGCAGGGCTGTGACTGCATCTGCCCTCGAGGGTTGTAGTGACGGTGTCTAGCTCTGTATCCTAAGAGGGGCATCGCAGGCAACTGCTCTTTTTGGGCCCCGGAAGCTCGGAATCCGTGCACCTTGCTGTAGCCACGTATTGCCCCTGTTACAACTCCCTCGAATTACACAAGGCACTAGCCTCCTGATGTAATATGGTCTCTCTTCAAGAGTCTAGTGCTACATGTCCCCACCGAGTGATATTCTTTCAAGGTAAACCTGTGTAACTGGGGAAAAGTAATAAAGTGACTTAAAAACATGCAAGTGCGTTTAAAAAACAGATCAATGCAAACTGCGGCTTCCAGCGTGAGCATATTTGTCCGCTTGTGGATCAGGTATCAGCACATTCAAATAGCACGTCCTCATTCGGTAAGAAAGTGAGAGGTTCAGGTCCCGTGGGTGCAATTCAGCCCAAGACCGATGCAGGGCGGAAACCCCGCTTAGGTGGGGCGTTGGACCTGGAGGGTGCTCTGCAAGGGGGGGTTACACCTGGTGTGAATTTGCTAGCCTGCCGCAGAGGCACAGAAGCTGGTGCAGGGACGGGGTTCGCATGTGATTGAAACAGGTGCCGCACAGACCTCCAGCATGTGTAGACTGCCCTTCCCTCTGCTGCTGTGTTCTTCACGCTTCCTGTTTACCTCTACAGGGCAGGAACTTCGGGTCGTGCAATTGTCCAGGCAGCTTTACTCTCCCAACCCCTTCCCCCCCCTTTACCTGCTTGAAATACGTGGAAGCCTTTCAGTTCCTAGTTAGGCTAATGATAAGGTGTGCACATGTGGGTGAGCTGCTGTTACTGGCTGATGCTCTGTCCATACGGAGCCTGGATGGGCCTGTCTGGCTTGGATTGTGGTACTAAGTAGACACTTTGGGGTGTGGGAACAAGGCCTCCAGAACCCGGGGTTAATAGCCACCCTCCCCCAGTGTATTAAGGCAACGTCTTCCCAGTTGCCACAGCAGCAGGTGGGTTTGGGAGAGTCTGGTTTGCACATGGCTGTCTCCATTGGGGAGTGTATCTGACATACAGCCACTGCCCCTTGTTTAAACAAACGAGCAAAGGCCGGTTTGACTTACTGCTTTCCTGGCTATGACGAATTCCTAACAACTCATCAAAGGCATGAAGGACGGAGCTCTGCGCCGCGCTCCCTCCAGAATACGACATGGGCTCCTCCGAAACGCCTTCGTAGATCAGCCCTCTGGGCATGGCCGGGTTGTCTTTCCACCTTAACAAGAATGCAAGGCGGGAGTGAAGAAAGACTTCAAATACTGAACCCTACAGCAGCCAGCTGGAGCAAACCCCCCGAGGTCTGACTTGTGCACCCTCTCCTCATGGGAACCCTCATTTCAGGTGAAGGACTCTGATGTTCACGTATCACACCGGAAGAAACTCGACCTAAGACGCGTAAATAGAATAACAAGCTCCCTCTGATGCTCCCCTTCCCCAGCCTGTCTTTGTCACGTGTAATGCAGATGGCAGCTGCTGTGTTGGGGAGCGGCCTTTTGTCTGTGAAGTGCTACGCACGTCTGTTGTGCGGCGTGAATAATACCAAACCAACAGCACCCGGGCTGATTTGTTGTTTCTAGAATAAACATACAACCCATCCATCCCTTCTCAAAAACATTCACCCGGCGAAACAGGTACAGGCCTGGAGATGACCCATCAAAGATGGCTGCATCATCCTTGGACACTTTCCAGACCTGTGTGCTGCCTGCAGGGGCGGGAGGGAGAGAGAGAGAGGGTATGTCTACACTACCCCGCTAGTTCGAACTAGCGGGGTAGTGTAGACATACCCAGAGAGAGAGAGAGAGAGTGTGTGTGTGTGTGTGTGTGTGTGTGTGTGTGTGTGTGTGTTGACGCTCATGTTGTGTGATTGTTTGTAAACTATCATTTAGAATCGTCCATAGCCAGATGTTGGAGAGCTCATGAATGCCTATTTTAAGCCCTTTGTCATCAAGAATGCCAAGAAATGGTGCTACAGGGAGCTAAGAATATTGCATTTGATTGCAGAATGGGGACAACTCTGATAGGCTTGGTTGCCTGGAATACACAGGAGAAGGCTAAAACTCGGCAGCACCACCGTGTAGTGTGAGGACGGGTCTCTATTGAAGCAGGATTTCTATAAAACAATATTTTGACAGTCTCAGGAGGGCCACTGGACTACTCGTTGCTTTGACAGTGACCTGTAGGATGGTAAAGCATTTAGCCAGATACATCTTGGCTCCTGGATAGTTCTTTGGGAATTAAAATGATGTGTGGTATGGCTTCTTAAAGTGGGTGTGGGTGTGGGTGTGTGTGTGTGTGTGTGTGTGTGTGTGGTATGGCTTCTTAAAGTGTGTGTGTGTGTGTGTTCCTCATCAACAGAACATAATTGCAAGAAGCAAGCTCTCACAGTAATCTGTAGGGATCGGACCCTCAGTTCTCATTAACCTCCAGGGCAGTCACTCTAAAAAGCCTCATTAATTGTCTCGGACACCAAGGAGCCTCCTAGGCTGCTGCATAATATTGATCGATCAATTTCATGGTTTTGAAACCAACCTGTCTTCCTGGTCATCTCTTTAAATTTCTCCTTTTCACTTACAGTGCAGAGTTTACAGCGTTGCGATGCGCTAACATTTACTGTGCCTCAGCAGTGAATCTCCTACCGTCATGCCTGTTAGGCTGGTCCGCAAAGGGACTTATTAGAAGATGCAAAGGGCACTCCAGCTCCGAATTAGCTCTTGGCCCTGACTGTCAGTGAGGAGCTAGAAACCTAGATGCCCTTCGTGCTTTGGAATCTTCTGCATTTCTTGCAGCAGGGACCTATCTATTTTTTTTCCTATAAAGAACCAAGCCTGCCTATGCGACAGAGCAAACCATGGCACTGGAAAGCATTCTGTCACCTGAAAACAGAATTACAGCAGTATCACTCCGAGCCCCAGCACTGTTGCTGGGAAACTTGGGTTTGGTTTTGCTAAAAGCAAACAAAATACCATGACTGCCTCATTCTCAGACATCTGGGTTATGAGAGCATTTGAGGTGGCTGTCACCAAGTCCTGAAAATGTGGGGTTTTTATTCTTGTGACCTTTCCTTAGCATGATTCCTCTGGATAGAGAATAAGGAAATTTTCTGTTTCCTTTAGTGGGGTGCAAGGTTTTAACTTTATGTAATGTAATTTCCCCCACCCCCACAAAAAACACAAGTCCTTAGGAAAACAAGAGACTGGCCAGTCATGGTTTTTCCTGACCTGACTTGCTTTTTCCATCACTTATCAAAACCCGGCAGTGTTTGCTGTATGAACTGCATGTTTACAAATGGCTAAAAGCTCTGAATGAATGTTAGGGCGGGGGTGGTATCAGGAGTCTGGAAATACTTTCGCGGCAGGGCAGTTATCTACTGGCTTCTGAAGAATGCATATATTTAGATGTGTATGTTACTGAAAGGTCATTTTTTGGGTTTCAGTTAGGGTTCTGAGGCTAGCCCTCCCCCATTACATTAACTGTCAGAAGCTGCTGTTATACACATCTAAGAGGGAAAATAGGTTTATTAACAAACTTTCAGTTATTTTTAGCTCTCCCAGAAATACATGTATAGTAATCTCCAGTCCTGTGAAGTTTATAACAGAAGAGAGATAAAAAGGCATGTGTGTCCAGGCTGGCAATCTTCTAGACAAAGTCAGCTCGGATGGAAAAGAGAAATACATTTCAGAAGCAGCAGGCCTTTACGCTCACAAACACTGAAACCTGTTACGAAATTAAAATTAGAAAGCCAGAACTAGGACCATTGCAGAGGGAAAAGCCCCTCGTACTTACCCAGACAGAAAGATCCGGATCACACCATAAAATATTGCCGGATCCACATAGTCTGGAACAGAAATCGAAGCCCCACATTACCCCAAGCCAAAGGCGGTTAGTTACGCCTGCCTCCTCCCTCCCATCGCCCATCTCTTCCTTCTCGGTCTGAGCTGAGGAACGACCCTGAATCTTTCGAACAGCCATGGAGGAGACTAGAACGCTGTGTGCTGCCGCCGCCCTCCAATACATCGCCTGGCTCCTTTACCGCTCCCGTGAGCTTTGTCGGTGGCACTGACCGTTCGCGTGACATAACGGCGCTCCCCGTGCTGGGTGCTACTGCAGCACGGGGCTGGGGGGTGCAGTGGAATTAAGTGGCCAATGCCAGGTGTCCCAGAGGATGTGAACCGAACAGGGAATGATCAAACCACCTCTCTCCTGCCATCCATCTCCACCCACTGACAAACAGACTAGGGACACCATTCCTTACCCATCCTGGCTAATAGCTATTAATGGACTTAACCTCCATCAATCTATCTAGCTCTTTTTTAAACCCTCTTATAGTCCTAGCCTTCACAACCTCCTCAGGCAAGGAGTTCCACAGGTTGACTGTGCGCTGTGTGAAGAACTTCCTTTTATTCGGGATGCTGGCTGAATGGCAGGTGCAGGCCCATCCCTGCCTGTCCTGGGAACACCTGCCTTGCATCTGATTTTCTCCAGGCCATGACCCCTGCGGCCCTGTCCCTGCCTAGACTCTTTCCACCTGGCTCACACAGGTGTTTCCACTCACGTATCCAGGGGCATTCCCACTTGGGCCAGGAGCTACAGAGCTCGGCGTGGGAAGTGTGATTCTTACCATGCATCTGTTTCAAAGCAGCCGTCATCTCTCCGATGGCCTTTGCCAGGTCTTGCAGGGCCTCGTGCAGGGCCTCTGTGTCAGGCTGCAGGATGGCATTAGCTGCCTGAACAACTGCCTGCAAGAGAGCAGTGGAAGAGCCGTGGTCCATGGGGTTGCATGCCCATGGGGTGCCTCTCGGCGCACTGCCCCCTCCGTCACTGGGACCGGCCCGCCTTGTCTTGTTGCCAGGGCATCCTCACTGGGCCATGGTAAGAGACCCCTAAGCAGACTGCCGGCATGCAATAGGGTGAGCTCAGCCCCCCGAAACACGGCAGAGGTTGGGACAGGGGCTCCCACACCACAGCACCGGGAGACAGTGGCTCTGTGCCCATCAGGGCCCCCTGCACAAGGCTGCACGGTAACCGCTCCCAATGTGACATTCGCTGTTTATCGTCAGCACGGGGGGACGTGGCAGCAGCCAGGCAAGCCTCCGTACGCGTGCATGATACACAACCACAGAGAGGAACGTCCCTGGCAGGGTGGGGTGGGGGGACCGACCAGGCAAGTTCGCTGCCAGGTCCTTGCCGAGAGCGCTCACAAAGCAGACTGCGTCTTCTGAGAACAGCCGCCTCCACCCCCTTCCACCTGAGTGACCATTTGCCAGGCTGGGGGCCACAGACCGGGCCAGGCTGGAACAGGCGACACTTCACCTTGCCCCTCGGGTTAATTCCTAATGAACATGGCTCAGGTATGATTGTGTGGGCTGCAGGGCCGCCTGCCTTTTTAACAGACCCTTTGGACAACCGTCCTCTCCACGGATCGCAGACCGGAGTGACTTGCCCCTGGCATCGCACACGTAGGGACGAAGGGGTGTCTGCCCACGGCGGGCATCTGAGTTGTACTGTACCTTGACCCCAGGCACTGCTGCCTTCTCCACAAGGAGCGTAACGAGAATGAAGCCTCTCAAAGTCTCTCCTCCCAGCAGGGAAAAGATGGTGTCCAGATTCCTGTAGGGAGGAGCATAGCCGGCCAAGATTAAAACAGCCTCCTTCCGAGAATCTGTGCGACTAGCCCTTCGTGCTCCCTCCCCCGCACTGCTCTCACGTGCCCCGTCAGCCAGATCAGAATCAGCCCCTGCCACGCATGTTCGAACTACCACAAACACTGGTGCCGGGCACAGCGTTACCTGGAAGCTGGGCACATGTGCAGCTGTTCAGGGGAAGATTCCAGTGCCGCCCTGCTGATTAGCAGAGTGCCCACAGCTAGGCTTTGTGTTTCTATTGGTGGTGCACATTCACACATGCCTTGGTGCACATTAAAAAAAATGTTCCACACATGGATGGAAAAGATTAGAAGGAACCTTAGTAGCAACGTGAGGCTATAAAGCACTTTCCTCCTCTTTATCTTCCTTCCCCAGCCACCCCATCAGGTTCTGGGAGTGATGCCTCCCGCCGAGAAACAACTTGAATTTTTCAAGTCTTTGGTCATTCAGAGTGGAAAGCTTCTGCCGTGCGGCTGTCAGCACCTGCCCCCTGTGCAAATTGCAGGTGGGTTTGTGTGTCCCACTGCCAGTCCCGCCAATCAGAACTAGGGATGGTAAAAAGCAGGTAATTGTGTAACTGCTGGAAATCTCAGCGGTTACATGAACCCACTGCACGAAGTGGCAGCCAGCTCCCCAGGAGCTGGTGCGCACTGGAAGCCAGCTTTTAAGCCAGCTCCTGCAGCCCGTTCCCAGAGAGCTGGCTGCCACCCCCGTACTGCTGGCACAGGGTGGCAGCTGGCTCCCCAGGAGCAGGGCAGGAGCCTGCGTATAACTGTTAACAGTAACCGATAAGCCCAGGCTTATTGGTTAACCGTTTAAACGGTTATACTTCTACATCCCTAATCAAATTGGGGCAATGCATGCAAGGCATGTAGGGCAAGATTTCCAGAGACGCTCAGCAGTGTGCTGCACCCACAATCCGTCCCTATGTGTGGGAGATGGGAGCTATTTACAGCCATGTGGGTCACCCACAGGCCGCCAGCAGCTATTATGTTGCAGGGGAAGTGCTCTGCCATTGTGTTGTTCTCATGTAGCAGGAGGTAGATTTAAACTAAAAGAAGCCCTGGTAGCATGGAGCAAGGGACTGACCTGATTCAAAGCTAGCACAGTTAGAAAGGAAATCCGCGTATAAGATACTTACTCAATTTCCAAAGGCCTGCGGGAGTTTCGGGGGTTGACAGCAAGCGTGCAAGAAAAGGAAAGAGGAAGAACGCGTCAGTACAGAAATGGACCCGAGTAGCAGAGATACTGTGTGTGCGCCTCACAATGAGGTTTCATCCTGACACTGGTGTTAATGCTAGTGCCCAGCTGGTCCTGGTGTTCCCTGGTGCAAAGGACTGGACTCTGCCTCTGAACCGGACATGGTCTTTGTAAGGACTATTTATACAGCCTGCCAGCCAGGCCCAGGACAGGGTCAGACAGGGAGGCTACATCTACACTGGCATGATGTTCCGGAAATGCTTAAAACGGAACAGTTGTCCGTTATAAGTATTTCCGGAAAAAGCACGTCTACATTGGCAGGATGCTTTTCTGGAAAAGCACTTTTCCCAGAAAAGTGTCCGTGCCAATGTAGACGCGCTTTTCCACAAAAAAGCCCCGATCGTCATTTTCTCAATCGGGGCTTTTTTGCGGAAAACACTACTGTGCTGTCTACACTGGCCCTTTTCCGGAACAGTTTTCCGGAAAAAGGACTTTTGCTCGAACGGGAGCAGCATAGTATTTCCGGAAAAGCGGCTGATTTCTTACAGTAGATCGTCAGTGCTTTTCCGGAAATTCAGGGGGCTGATTTTCCGGAATAAGTGGCCAGTGTAGACACAGCCGGAAAGTTTTAAAGGATGATCAAAATGTCAGCGTTCCAGCGTAAATGGACACGGATGGTCTTACACCTTCCAGCTAGACTGACCAATGGCATCGTTTGTGCTGTTCTGACACAGCGCAATGTAACAGCCCAGTTCCTGTCTGTCCAGGCCTAGATTTCATTGTTCTCATGTTTACCCATTAAGATTCTTTTTCCTCCAGTTGGCTAGCACAAAATCTGCATGAACCAGGATGGGAGGCAGCCCGAGCCTCTGCGAGATCTCCCAGTAGGGAACAGCCAGGTTCCGCGGCAGCACCTGGAAGACACAAACTTGTGCTCATTCAGATGATCCGGTGGGCATGTGACGCGTAGCCAGGCTGAGTCTGCAGGGAGCCAGGCACGCGGGGCAGCGTGCTCCATCTCAGACGCCAGGAGTTCATCTCCGCTGCAAGAGGAGGGAGCTGAACGCGGGCGTCGGTGGCAAGGAAGACACGGTAGCTCGGCTGAAAGTTAAACCCGTCAGGGAAGCAGGGGGCTGAGCTCAGGCCACCAGCCTGCGTTCGAAGTGGAGCTGCCGGGTGCTTGCTGCTATTTGGGGCTCCGGGAAGAAGGTTCCCAGGGCTGCACTTTCCTGGGGTCCTCTCTGAGGTCAGGTGAGCTCAGAGCTTGTACCAGCCAAAGTGTGAGCAGCTCCCAGCTGAGAATGGACTCCCCAGCCCGCGGCAGGCAAAGGCTGGCTTGGAGCGGTGCTGCTCCGCCTCGTCTGGTGGCATTTGTATGGAAAGAGCCTTTGTGAGCTTGGCCTCAAAGAGCAAGTGACCCGTCTGGCACAGCATCTACCTGGACAGGCTCCTTCTCGCCTTCCTGCCAGACGAACCCCATCGTGATGAAGCTGAGGGCCAGGTGGGCCAAGTACAACTCTCGGTGCCCTCTGAGATGCTCACAGCTCAGCTGGGGCATCTGCCAAGGAGAAACGTGTGGGTCAGGCATTGGACAGTGGTAAGAATGAGCAGCACTGAAGATCTCAGAGCACCTGGCCAACCCCCAACGCCCTTGGGAGATAGTCTCCTGCGGTAAACTGAGGCACTGAAGCAAAGTAACTTGCCCTGCATCACAGAAAAGTCAGTCTGAGCTCAGAACAGGACCAGGCATCCTGCTGCCCAGCCCTGTGCTCTGACACATCTGGAAATACTCTTGCCAGCTCCAGCACAAATGGCTGCTCGGCTCGGCTCAGCTCGGCCATCTCGTCTCTCCACCTCACGGGTCTTATTTCACTGACAGCACTGTTCTTGGGCAGCCTTCCAGTTTGGTAACCCCCTGGGGGTTTTAGACCCATGGCTGCTGACTGTTCCTCTTTTGGGAGTCTGGGTTTTTTTAGGTACCCCCAAGTTTCACCACGCTTAAAACTCTACTTGCTTCCAGAATCGAGAGTCCCAGCGTGCTATTGCTGAAATTGCTTGTTTTCTCGTTTTAGCATATCATTACAAAATAAATCCATTGCAGTATAACTGTTGTGCTTCCAGCTCAGTGCTTTGTGTAGAGAGCAGCATAAACAAGTCCTTGTTGGTGTGAAACGTTAGTTTGCACTGACGTCAGTAGGGCTTTTTGTGCAACTTTTGCCATAAGCTGATGTACCCCCAGGGCTGAGACCTCGGATACCCACAAGGCTACACGTACCCCTGGCTGAGAACCACTGTTTACGACAGGGTCTCAAACTCATGGTCTTCTGAGAAATCCCCAATCCAGCCTGCAGAGGCAGGCCTGCCAGTGGGGGGGATGGGAGGGAACTGCACCGGGGCCCGGCTATTCAAAGGGGCCCATAGCGCCCATCTGCCACCACTGCGACTGAAGCAGCCACAAGGCCCATGCTGCGCACACGTCTGCTAGCATGTGAATCGCTGCAGCCCTGGGAAGGGGGGTCCACATCCTTCCCCCAAGCCCACCCCAACCCTGCCTCTTTCTGCCCCTGCTCTGACTGCTTCCCTCAAGCCCCCTCCCCACAAGGGTGCAGCCCCAGGGATTCCCGGTGGGGACTGGCGTGGGGCAGCAGCAGGAGTCAGGCCCGTCTCACGGCGGTGGGAGCCGGGGGGAAGTGGAGCAGCATTGCGGCCTCTGCTCCGCTCCATCGCCAGCTCCTAGGGCAGCCCGGTCGCTCTGCGTCACCATGGCCAGGCCAGCCTGGGAGGTGGCAGTTCTGCGCCGGGCCACAGGGACGTGCCAGCAGCAGCCAGAAGCTGCTCCAGACCTGCTGCCCAGCCGGCCGTGGTGGTGGGGGCCACTGGGGCGAGGTTTAAATAGCCCAGGGCTGACAGGCGGGGCCAGGGGACACGCAGGGGGAAGCGTGTGGAGACCCTGGCCCCTCGAGGCCCTTCCAGAGGGGGCCCACTAGCTCGCTAGGGGAATCTGAAGACAGGGCCTGGCCCAAAGGCCCATTGAGTTGGAGACCCCTGGTTTCCCGACGCTTTGCAGGAAGTCGTTCTTCCCGCTCACAGCTGGACTTAAAAATCCCCGAGCGTGCAGGGAGGCGGAGTCGCGTCCTGTGGCGATTCGCTCCAAACGCTGTTACTCCCTAGCTGAAATGGGGAGTCTGGCCCCTCTGTGGGCGCTCCCGCTAGTGAGGGGCGAAGTGACTTTTTCCATCCCACACGCTGGCCTGGCGCCAACATTCCTCCCAGGCTTCTCCAAGAGCCTAGAGTTCAAACTCAGGGTTCAACAGGCACCTTGTAGACTTGGGACCGGAGCTCGTGGCTCTGGAGCAGGCGAGACAGGTTGTTGGCAATCTCCATCCAGGGCCCATAGGGAGCAGGGAGTTCGCTCTACAACAGACAAAAGGCCTTAAATCATCAAACGAGGCTGCGAGGAGCGGGCAGAGGAAAAGTCATCGGCTGCGTCACCTCCCCGAGCCCAGATAGCGCGGACACGGCTGTGACTGGCGTGGGGACGGGTGCTGAGGGGCATCTGCAGAGTTCAGGGGATGGCAGGGTGGGATTAATGGGAGCTGCATCTTCAGGGCGTCTAAGCCTTGAGTAACGGGGGGAGGGAGGAATGATGGAGGAAATGTGCTGGGTGCTTGCACAGTGTCTCATCGGGCAGTGTCTGGCTAATGACTTGCTGGCATCCACTTTCTGCTTGGTAAAGGCTATGGTGTTCAGAAAGAGCAGTGAGGTGTGTGTGTGTGTGTGCGTGTGCGTGTGTGTGAGAGAGAGAGAGCGAGAGTGTGTGTGTGTGTGAGAGAGAGAGCGAGAGTGTGTGTGTGTGTGAGAGAGAGAGCGAGAGTGTGTGTGTGTGTGAGAGAGAGAGCGAGAGTGTGTGTGTGTGTGAGAGAGAGAGCGAGAGTGTGTGTGTGTGTGAGAGAGAGAGCGAGAGTGTGTGTGTGTGTGAGAGAGAGAGCGAGAGTGTGTGTGTGTGTGAGAGAGAGAGCGAGAGTGTGTGTGTGTGTGAGAGAGAGAGCGAGAGTGTGTGTGTGTGTGAGAGAGAGAGCGAGAGTGTGTGTGTGTGTGAGAGAGAGAGCGAGAGTGTGTGTGTGTGTGAGAGAGAGAGCGAGAGTGTGTGTGTGTGTGAGAGAGAGAGCGAGAGTGTGTGTGTGTGTGAGAGAGAGAGCGAGAGTGTGTGTGTGTGTGAGAGAGAGAGCGAGAGTGTGTGTGTGTGTGAGAGAGAGAGCGAGAGTGTGTGTGTGTGTGAGAGAGAGAGCGAGAGTGTGTGTGTGTGTGAGAGAGAGAGCGAGAGTGTGTGTGTGTGTGAGAGAGAGAGCGAGAGTGTGTGTGTGTGTGAGAGAGAGAGCGAGAGTGTGTGTGTGTGTGAGAGAGAGAGCGAGAGTGTGTGTGTGTGTGAGAGAGAGAGCGAGAGTGTGTGTGTGTGTGAGAGAGAGAGCGAGAGTGTGTGTGTGTGTGAGAGAGAGAGCGAGAGTGTGTGTGTGTGTGAGAGAGAGAGCGAGAGTGTGTGTGTGTGTGAGAGAGAGAGCGAGAGTGTGTGTGTGTGTGAGAGAGAGAGCGAGAGTGTGTGTGTGTGTGAGAGAGAGAGCGAGAGTGTGTGTGTGTGTGAGAGAGAGAGCGAGAGTGTGTGTGTGTGTGAGAGAGAGAGCGAGAGTGTGTGTGTGTGTGAGAGAGAGAGCGAGAGTGTGTGTGTGTGTGAGAGAGAGAGCGAGAGTGTGTGTGTGTGTGAGAGAGAGAGCGAGAGTGTGTGTGTGTGTGAGAGAGAGAGCGAGAGTGTGTGTGTGTGTGAGAGAGAGAGCGAGAGTGTGTGTGTGTGTGAGAGAGAGAGCGAGAGTGTGTGTGTGTGTGAGAGAGAGAGCGAGAGTGTGTGTGTGTGTGAGAGAGAGAGCGAGAGTGTGTGTGTGTGTGAGAGAGAGAGCGAGAGTGTGTGTGTGTGTGAGAGAGAGAGCGAGAGTGTGTGTGTGTGTGAGAGAGAGAGCGAGAGTGTGTGTGTGTGTGAGAGAGAGAGCGAGAGTGTGTGTGTGTGTGAGAGAGAGAGCGAGAGTGTGTGTGTGTGTGAGAGAGAGAGCGAGAGTGTGTGTGTGTGTGAGAGAGAGAGCGAGAGTGTGTGTGTGTGTGAGAGAGAGAGCGAGAGTGTGTGTGTGTGTGAGAGAGAGAGAGAGTGTCTGTGAGTGAAAGAGAGAGAGAACAAAATACAGGACTATGTAGCACTTTAAAGACTAACAAGATGGTTTATTAGATGATGAGCTTTCGTGGGCCAGACCCACTTCCTCAGATCAAAGAGAGAGTGTGTGTGTGTGTGAGAGAGAGAGAGCGAGAGTGTGTGTGTGTGTGTGAGAGAGAGAGCGAGCGAGAGAGTATCTGTGTGTGTGTGAGAGAGAGAGAGAGAGCGAGAGTGTGTGTGTGTGTGTGTGTGAGAGCGAGCGAGCGAGAGAGTATCTGTGTGTGTGTGTGTGTGTGAGAGAGAAAGCTATTTCTGGGGGAGGATGGTAAAGCTGCCTTTCTTCTCTTGGAGAATCCTGGTCCATGTTCTATTCACCAGTTTTCATCCCGTTGGGGGCCACGTGGCGTTTATATTTTAGCTGGAGCCATATAATCCCAGTTGCTATCTCATTGTGTGGGCTCTGAACAGGACAGAGGTTTCATGGCATTTTTCTGCTTTTGAAAAGCGCCCGGTGGGTCTCGCCGCCCCCCTTTTCCTTGTGGGGGGCATGGGCAGGTTAAGGAGGGGCTGGGTCAATTTCTGGCGGTGCCCAATGGCGCGCCCATTACTTCTGCCTTCCCCAGATTCCAAGGCATTGCCTTGCCGGCGGGACCCAGGCAGCGTGGTGGTAGCTGCCTCACAGTCAGCTCCTTTCCCCCTTTCTTTCGGGGGTGTCTGATTTAAACCAGAGGCAAAGTAGGAAGTGTACTGTGGCAGTACCCGGCCCGCAGGGAGGCTGGTTCCCCAGGGCACCAGGGAGGCAGAAGAGGGCTGTGTTGGGGCTCCACAGGATGAGTCTCTTCCCGCCCCATGAAATTAGAATTGAGTGGGTTTTTAAGCACAAATGGCGTCATTGGCAGAGGTTTCTCATTCCTGTCCCGAGAGTGAGACTTTATCCAGGGGCAGCAAAGAGACTCCCAAGAAGAACTGTCTGGCTGCACTTCCAGAACCGCGGTTGGCCAGCATCTAAGCTCAGCTGAGCCCCTCTGGTGTGTGTCCAGCCGTCATGGCGCACGAGGCTTGCAGGACAGGGGTCTCACTGGGGTTGGGGGTGGAACTTTATCGCGGCTGTTGGGTGCCAGCAGCCGTTTGCTCCCGGCTGGGGGAGAGAAGGAGCTGCTGCGGGAAGGATTTTGATGTTTAGAGGCCTACAGTGAACAGAAGGGGCAGGGGATCTGGCTTGAAGCGAATTGCTGGGCTCTTTCCAATGAGAACCAAGCACAGCCCCTGCCAGGAAAACGTCACCTCGTCCCCTGCAGAGATGGCCCACATAAGGATGCCATTCTGGTTATGTACGTGGTTAGGATTACACCCCCAGGGCAGCCTATTGTACCTGTGCCTCTAGAGCAGGGTGTTTTCAAACTCCTTTTCTCATGACTCAGTTGAAGAAAACTGTTGATGCTGCAGCCCAACATCATTGACTAGCGTGTGGGCTCCAGCTACGTGGGCTTAGCAAAATAAGAAAGACTGCAAGGAAACAATGGCTCCAGATAAGCCACCCTTGGGGAACACTTAATAGTTCAGCCATCATCTCTCAAGAGCCCTTGCCTCTGAAGATTGCAGGGTCTGGCTGCAGGCATCTAACCAAACTGGCTCTGAAGAGCAGGGCCAAGGCCTGGAAATCGAACACTCCCAAGGGTGATTGGAAAGGGGAGTCAACAATGGGACATAGCTGTTCGCCAGGTGAAACCAGACTGATACGTGGGACCCGCAAAGAGGCGAGGCCTGCTTTGGTTACCATGGCGACACTAAGCCTTTCGGTGCAGCCTCCCTATTCCAGTGCTAAATTCCCTGTTGGGAATGACCATCTACCAACATCTCCCTTGCTGCAGGCTAACCCTGCGCCTCGCTCCTTTCTCCATGGTGGACATGGCGCCCACATGGCCCCCATGCTCTTTAGGACAAGCCCTACAAATATGTAACTGTGGTCTCCCCTCGGCTGCCTTTCCTGTGGGACAAGGCCTTCTAAGGGACAGGAATAGCCACTCCCATCCTAGTGCCTGTACATGCAATGATTTGAAAGGCTCGACCCTACAAATTGCTAATTGCTGACCACTCCATTGACTTCACCTGCTCAGAACCTGGCAGGATCAGGCCCTTTAAAGGGCTGGCATTGTGGCCAACGGTGTGCGTTTAACATCCTCCTCCTCTGTATCCTGCATCTCACCATTTTACCTGCATAATCTGCCGTTCATTTCCTCCCTGCTAGCTTCTGCTCAAGGAGTGCTATTTATCACTTGCTGTCACTTCTTAAAAAAAAAAAAAAAAGATTAAAGCTGAAAATCTGTATCTAAATC